AATTTTCGCAGCTAAAGAACCGGCAAGGAATCACTACAGTATTCCTTTTAAAAAATCAAAATATTAATGCGATTCAGAAATGAGAAGCTTTTTAACAATCAATTGACTGGCTTCCTTGTGCCACTACAGAATGTTGAAGTTAAATATAAGTTTACAAGCTCTTTTTTTCTTCTTTGGTGGCATTCACTTCGAAAATCCAGGGATAAACAGTGAGCAATATACTTGTAGACCAAGATTTCTGTCAAATTGCGAGATTAGCCTAGCCTCCCAGGCAGGCGTTTTTAAGAGGGCTCGGAGGGATGAAAGACGAGCTCCGGTAAAAACGCCTGTGTGGGAGGCTAAGATTAGCTTGGCTCAACACTGACATGCGTATCATGACTTGTATCGTCAAGTATGACAGGACTTGTCAACGATCAATTAAAATAATTAGCATAGAAAAAACTGTTACACTCCATAAGTCTGCACAGCAAAAGAACTTCTTTACTGGAATTTGTTTTTAAAGAAAGATCTTGATGAGCTCTATTTAATCATCTAAAAATTGCAAATTTTGAAAAATGATGATTTTTTACCCTGGATGACGCCTTAAATTAACCCAGTAGGAAAGAGATCTGGAGGTCCAATGATTTCTTAAACCGCGGGCTAAGTTAGACTTCGTTTAAATAACCGACCCTTAAGTGTTTTACCTAGGTGACTGTTTTGTAGCAGTAGTAAATAAATATTGTTAGTGTTTTTAGTGTAGGAGGGCATCTAATTGTTACTACCAAATAGTTAATGACAAGAGGTAAAAATAAAAAAGACGAAATTGACATGCGGAGTAGTCTATTATCTATCGAGTTTGCAGATGAGGTTCCTCACACTTACCACAAGTTGACCTTATATTACGAGTTTCACTTTCAGAGCGGAGAGCGAAGGACGAAGTGAGTCGCAAGAGGCCGACCTTACAGTGGTTACCACTAACACGAGCCCTCGAAGGATTTTTTTCTCTCCCTCTTGAAACCTGAGGTTTGAAACATGTGCTTTTCCAGCCTATGCTATGCTTTATTGAAATTGCTCACGATAAAAGGTGTTTAGATAAAAGCGTTGAACAAACTGAAAATGGAATGGAACACGGTTTTGTTAAACACAGGCTAAAATCTGTTTGAATAAGTGGCCCTTAGCTTTGGAAACAATATAAAGTGAAACTTAGTAGAAAGAGCTAGAAGCAACAGTCATCCAATATTCGGAGTCAGTACGTGAAAATTATTTGCACTGAGCACATGGCACCAGCACCGTCGACTCGAGTACCTTCCAAATTTCTTGCAAAATTTGTAATTTCATGAAACGTTCTTTTTTCCCTTAACCCAGTAATAGAGATTACAGCTAGTCTTAACCTTAAATATGGTTAAATTTGCGTGTATTGAATAATACAATCAGTAAGAAAAATACAAAATATCACACTTTGAAAGGGAATGAACCAGATTAGCTCAACTACAAGAACAAAAACGTTCATGTTTCATGAAGAACAGACATTTAACAGTCAGTTACGTATAAGGAGAGGCAGCCTTCAAATGATCAGCACTGGCACACAATCCTTTCGATTAACTTAATCTCAACTTTTTCGAGCTACTGGCCCAAATTTGTAAATTACTACTAACAACTTTACATTAATTTATATTAACACACCGCAACAGAGATTATTGTTTAGTCTGTCACTATTATTTTGTTTTCGAATAGCTGAAAAAAGTTAAAAAGGTAAACATTTTAATTAAAATTGAAACTCCGGGGCCTTGAGGTCATTAGGTACCAGAAAAACTAAGATAAGGAATTTTTGAATGAATGTCAAATTTCACAAAATGACATCTTAAACAATTATGAAATTTTCAGAATTTTACCTGTGTTTTCACAATTCTTGTGAAATTTGACAAAATAGTCTTTGGTGTTATTACAGATAACTAATTATAATATCTTAAGCCCTTCAGAAATGTAAAAAAGAATGCGATATTGTTTATAAATTATTCTAGCACAAGGTTTTTGTCCACTGAAAATTGAAATTACTCAGTTTCCTGATGGGTTCCATCTTAAGCAAAGTTACATGACTTGCAGTGATTGTACCTTTTCAGCTAATGCTTAGTTCTATTTTTCAGTCTGTTCGCTTATTTCGTTTGTTTCTTTTCGTTTATCCTGAACACTTTAATTTCAGATTAGCCTGTGTACAGACGCCTCCTCCCCTAAAAAACGAACTGGTGGGTAGCTACCCAACGTATCCACAACCCTGAATGCCTATGTCATAAAAAATACGTGAGAAAATATGATAAGGACACGACAATAGCGGATTGGAAAGTGCCAGCGTATCAGCTCAACCACTGTATCTAGAATGACTTTTTCAAAATTTCCCTTAAAAAACCTTATATAACTAAATGTCACTCAAAAATTCTTAAAAGAACAATTATCTTAGAAAAACATCGAGTTCTGAAGACAAAATAGGGCACCAGTCACAGTACTTACCACGGACTAAGCTTGCATTAATAAGTCATATCGGACACTGACACGCAGTCCACTCGATAAGGTTTTTAGCTGCTCCAAACTTCTTACGAAATTTGTATCATATTCTTTAATTTTTCTTTTTTTATACAGTGGGTCTTGCTATAGAGATTATTGTTTAGTTTGTCACTGTAGGCCTGTTGTACATTTCGTGCGAAATAGTTATGCATGCACAGTTAATTGTTCAATTGCGATCATGAATTAAGGTCATTGAGGTTAGGAAACCCCGACATAAAAAGGGCTATGTCGACAATTTTTAGCTTCATTCCATCCCGGAGCATCAAGAGGTAAAGCCGTTGAAAGAAATCGTTTGAACTTTGGTAAGCTTTTTTCCCTTTTTTCACGTAAATATAAATTTTACTTGAGCATTTTTTTGTTATTGTTACTATTATTATTGTTGTTATAATTACTCTTTATTTCCACTAAATGAAAATTTTACGATTGTAAGAAAAAATTGGCAATGATGCCCAAAGCAACCAAGAGGCTTATACATCATAAGCTTTCTTGACTAATGTCGTGGAGATCGACTAGCTTCCTTTAGAAGAAAAGCAAAGACATAATTTTGTTTCTTAAAAAAAAAAGTAGTCAAATCTTATTCTGACTCCGCTGAAGAGAATGTTTGCTTGAACTGACGTGGCCGGATTGTGGTTCAAAATTAGATAATATAAGGCCACTATGAACATGAAAAATGAGTTTATTGTTAAAAGAAATTTTGGCTATCTTAACATACGCATATTAACTAAGTAGAATTTAAGAGCTGAAGGGTTTTTGAGTTTACCCCTGCCCTGTTCACTCGCAAAACAGTTTGAAACCATTTTAAAGTCTCATCATAACCAATTTATCATACGCCACGCACGATTTAACTGACAATAACACAGATTAATAGACACCCTGCAGTTTTATTTTTATACGGTCGAACCTTCCGTAAGCGACCACCAAAAAGGCGCAGCTTTAGTGGTTGGTATTTTTATTTGGGAGGCCGAGTGGTCTATAATGATACTAAAGTCGGACAACAGGGGAACTCTTCCAGGTATAAGTCCCGATAAATCCACTTTTTGTAAAAGAATTTATTGAGATGCAACTTCTAAATAACGATATGTGAAGTTCCGCTTATCCCTCATATTTCTCCTTATTCTTCAAGTAGCGCTTGTACAATTACAGCGAGCATAGAGAGCAGACCATGGAACGCCGGCTTACACGAGGGAGAAAACAATGGAAAATTTTAAGATCCTCAACCCCAAAAAGTGGTCGCGGGGTTGACTTAAAGGTTTTTGGTACTTTGGATTGGTGGTGGGAGGAGGTCGCTTAGTATGAGAGGTGGTCACACATGAGGGTCCACTGTAGTCAGTATTAAATCCGATTTTGTGACGACATTTAGGGCAGCGAAGTCAAAGAAATTAATCACAAAGTATTGTACATGAGAATTTGAGGGCGTGTCAGCTTTTATGTAGTAGAAAAATATTATTAGAATAAGCAATTTTAGGCTTTAAAATGTTTATTTAAACAATAACAGTTTGAAGCAGAATGTACCAAGATCTTGTCAAAATTCCTTGATCGGCGCGTACAAGAAAAAAAGTTCGAAGTGAACAAATTCAAGTGCTGCGCTGGCGGTGCTGCAGGTGGAGCATTCACGGCCAACATAGTTGGAATCGGAACCCAAAGAGGTGGCTAGAACTACCAGAAAGTTTCACTAATAAAAAAATAATAAAAGAACAGTCATATTTAAGTAAAACACACAGTTCTGAAAGCAGTGTTAGGAAAAGATAAGATCAAGAGAGAGATGCACTATATACTAAGACAGGAGCCCAAAACCTGGAGCTAGCAACTTCCATCTAGTGTACTTGTTTCGCAACCAGTTAGAACGATTTTGGCGCAAATTTAGAGTATCTTTTAAGACGCAGAAACCAGCGAGCAAAACCGAAGCCCTAAAAATATGTACTTGAGACCTTTTAATGACCTTAAGTTTTCTTTTTTGAAAATCTTGTACTTCAAATATTAATGCGCTTTCTTTTGACGATACTGTACGAAAAGCCTTTCGTTTATTTCCAAATGTTCCATAAATAAAAGAAAAATCTAAAGAAATGTTTAAATTTATTGCTTAGGACGAAAGAAGTTCTTGGATTGCTTCCAACTAGGTTAGAAAAAAAGCCTGATTTACTAACTTTTCAAAATTAAGCTCGTGGCCTTAGAATTTGTTTGAACATTTTCCCCCTCTTTTCTTTCTCGTCGCTGTGCAGCTGGCTGTGTTTGGACATGAAACTTTGACTGAGCAAATCTTACTTTTGCCGCACTGTGTTCTTGTGTTTTATGCCGTTGTCGTTATTTTTGACAGGCAGGGGAATAATTCACATAACCACACTCTTCAGGCCGATAACACTTAATTAAAAAAGCGTTTTTTGTTGGTAGATAAAGATGAAGAAGACGAAATCATCAATACACTGTCGCTCTATTGTCTTGCTGTTATTCGTAGTGTCTTGGGCATGTTGGGTGTCGCTTGAGACGGAAGCCAAGGATGAGAAGGTTTTGGCCACCAGAAATGACATAAATGGTAAGAAAACAGGTTTTGAAGTTGTGAATATAATTATGAAAATATTACATATGTGAACTGCAGAGTGAACAATTAAATGAATGATGATCATCGCAGTTATACGCAACCTACCCAGTTGCGAAAAAAAGCCTGAAAAAAATTCAGGCTTGTACGGAATTTGAACCCTTGACCTCTGCCATACCGGTGAAGCGCTCTACCAATTAAGCTAACAAGCCAACTGGGAGCTAAGGGCGGAAAAACGTAATGAGCATGCGTGAACTTTTTTGCCCAGATCCCCTAGCCAGGTTTCAAAAAATGGCGGGATTTCAAATATTTTATTGCCTAATAATAAAATGTTTCCACTCATAACCTGGAAAGACCAGGCAATTTGTCTTCAAAAGTTGCAAGCTGTGGTTATAATCTTGTCGTTACTTAATTTTCTCGAAGAAAACCTGATAGTAAAACGGACTTTAACGACATTAATTTCCTTGCGTTGTACTGGAAATGTGCATTGTAGGTCCGATTTTTTTCAAGATGCATTCACAAAATGTCTTCATATAAGGACGTTCCTGGATATATAAGGTCCGAAGCTCCACTGTGGACACAAAAACAACATATCTTTGGACAGTGATTTGCCCCAAAAAATTAACGCTTGCCCACAATGTGTTTGAAGTCACTGAACTTTGTCGCCCTCGGGCTGATATTTTAAAACCCTCGCTCAATCGGACACTCGTAGTTTCGCAGATCACTAAAATATAAACAAAATCGTCAATGTAGAAGTTATTGCGTTGATATGTGGGCAGAAAAAAGGTCAATCTTTCTCTAGCAAAATCTTCCCAAAAATCGGTTTAAAAGCAACTATACTTTTTCGAACTTACTCGTTTCGCACAGATATATAAATTTTGCTTTGTGTTGTCAAGTTGAACACGCATAACATCTGTCAAAAACCTATGCGTAAGTAGCATTTCCTTCAAACAAAGTTAAAGTTACATTATTTCGAAAACTTCTTGCTGACAATGAAGAAATGAATTTTCTGTGCGAAAACAACCTACCTAAAGATCTTAAAAGCAAAAGATCGCTTGCAACTTGGCAGCCAAGCCATGATTCACCATTATGGCTCTTGCCATTTAGCTATTTTCAATAAGCTTAACAGGTCCATGCGAGGGTCTTCGTTTAAACAAATTAAACTCAGCCGATCATTAGAAAATAAGGAAAATTGCACATAAGGGTTTGTTTTGCTCGCCTCAGTCAAATCAAGCTGCAGCAATTGTTTATGAAGTCACTGCCGGCAGTTGTCGTTCTCTACTTCACAGCCAGTGAAAAGGACAATTTGCGTACAGAAAGTTATTCTCATAAAGAACAGAAACTTTCACAGTGCACTGGAAAACAAAACTATGTAATGAAAAATAAAAAAAAACTCTGACTATTATTACTTAAGCAACAGAAAAATGATCTTGGGTAAGCTTGCCGGCCTTCTAATTCCGAGAAAGTTTAATAAGCGCACAAGTTTGTTCACTCTGATGCAATATAACAGCCATATGGTTCTTTGACGGAACACAAAGATAAAGCTGGTTCTGCAAAGGTAATAAATCTGGGCATGTAAAAAAAGTAACCGTAACTACTAATAACAGAATACAAAAAGGGGTTTTAATTCAACCCGGCGAAATCAACTCATAAATTAATCGGATGCACAATCAGAAAAATACTCGCCTCTTAAGAAATGTTCCAAACCTCTTATTCCACCTCAGACTGACGGAATGATCCGTTTTTCCTTTAACATTGGTTGTTCTGAATCCAAAGTAATTTTCAAGCGACCAAAAAAAAGCAAACATGTAAAATAAAAATGCTTTACAGAGAGCAAACGTTCGCACCTCGTGCATTTCACTCAGAACTCCAGCAACAAACAATCACAGTCAACACACAGAAAAGCCCGCCTTGAGCCTGCGATGAGGGATGCGCAGAAGCTTGCACAGAACGTTTTTCCGCCCTGAAACTGGGAGCAGGTCGTAGAATGATGATGAAGTTATGAATGTATGAAAATCGTATATATGTGAACTGCGGAGTGAAAAATTAAGTAAATGATGATCGTCGCAGTTATACGCAACCCACGCAGTTGCGAAAAGAAAGCCTTCAAACGTTTTTGGCCAGTAACCCCTGCAGTCCGGGGGGTGGGGATAAAGGTAAAGGTATGATTAAGTATCTGAGTGTGAATAAGGGTGTGTTCCTTTCGGCGAATCCAAAAACGGATTTTAGATCTAAGAACGGATTTCGCGTTCCTTTCGGCAGAACCAAATCCGGATTTTTGATCTGGTGAATCCTTTTTGAAAAAAAAAACTCATGCCATTTGAAATCCGAAGAATCCAAATCCAGATTAACGGATTAGTGATCTACGCTGTTCCATTCACAGTGGATCCGCAATTAGACAGATGATCCAGCGGTATTTCCATAGAGGCCGTAGAGTTTCCTCGTTGCTGCCATTTGCCGCAAAACATCTGAAAACACTAGAAGATTGTTCCTGGTACATTAAAATATCCATATACTAACCATTTGTCTCTAAAGACTGCTTGAAATCAGAAATAAGTAAAAGTAACAAATGGACTGCTATCTAACTACAAACTCGCTTGTAGACGCGACAGGCCCTCGATCGTGTTACATAAAAAAATCCGAGCTAGGGAACTGGATCAAACTGGCCGACATGCTTTAGATAATTTTCAATCTTAATGCGCTTCTTTCTTTGTCTGTTTTATATGTTCCATCGTCGCTATTCGAACTGCCGACCGCTAAATTCTGCACGGTATAATCGCATAATTTGTCAAAGAGTAGAAAACACGTCATTTTTTGAGAGGCTGTCGTGCATATCACAAGCGTTTGCGAAAGGTTACCAAGGTTACAAATCCAATTTCGGATTTCACGTTCCTTTCGACTGCGAAATCTGGCAAATCTAGGATCAAAAATCCGTTTTTGCATTCGCCGAAAGGAACACACCGTTGTATCCCAAACGCTTTGATCAGGACTGTTGATTGTGTAAAGTAGCCTTGTTAAAAAAATGAATCGTACAACTTACTTTTGTTGTACTAATAATATTTACATTATAAAATCCAGAACTAATATACATAACTAATAATCATTTTCTACGATTTTCTGTGGGAAGCCAGAGTTGGCTTTCTTTTCGCAGTTGCGTGGGTTGCGTATAACAGCGATGATCATCATTCACTCAAAAATAGATTTTGTTTCTTCAAGCCAGACCCTAGAGTATCGCAGCATTGCTTAAGCTTCCCACAGCCTAATAGTAGAAAATGATTATTAGTTATGTTTATTAGTTGTGGATTTTATAATCATATGTAAATATTATTAGTACAACAAAAGTAAGTTGAACGCTTCATTTTTCTAACAGGGCTCAGTACTTTACACAATCAACAGTCGTGAGGCTGAGTATCTTATTAAGAATTATGGAGATCGAGGAGGGTGTTATCCGTCGAGGCCGTAGGCCGAGGCGGATAACACCCTTCGAGATCTCCATAATTCTTCATATGATATGAAAACCGAATTCAATAATTGTTTTATTTTTCATTCAAAATAATTCCTAGTTTAAAAACATATGGCTAAAACATGCTTATCTCCATCGATCCATCGATGTTAAGTTCATCTTCGATAGTGCACGTTTAGGGTTGTTCGGCTCCGCAAATATTCTTCAAATAGTAGATGTCTCCCTTCGAGTTGTCTTCTTGCTGTTCTTGCCATGTTTTTAGCTATTATTTCGCAAAGTTGTTACTCTTGAAACGAGTGAAATGTCGCCATTTTTGTTTTCACAACCAAAACAACTCAACCTCGTCCCCAGGTCTTCTCGGTTAATGGTGCATTAACCTGCAAGAAAGCTGCACTTTTGACGTCATCGGTTCATAAACGCAAAATTCTTCCAAATTTGGTCATCAGTACTGGCTATGGTGAATTATGCATGTGCTTTTAGCCAATCAGAATTGGGGAAATATTTTGAATGAATAATAAAGTTATTTAATAAATTGTCCAAAATTTATAAAAAAAAATCAACACTTCAGATAATTCGACTCAAAATTCTTTAATTTACGTTATTCTAGTAATTCTAACATCTTCCTCCTATTCCATTCCGATAATTCTTTGGGGATCTTTTCAGGTCGCGTGTGAAAAAAAATTGGGGATCATTTGGGGTCGTATTTAGGTTGATTTTGGGGATCATTTTGGGTCGGGGATCATTTCGGCTCGTGTACAAATCTGAAAGCTCGACCGGGAGCCACAGGGGAATTGGATGTGGAATTCAAATTAATTCCAGAGACGTTGTTGCAAGCTCTCCTTCCTTTTCCCTCCCTGCAGCCAGAGCTCCCCAGAGAGCTTGCTTGCAAGCTACCTTGAACTTAGCCTATTCCAGGCTCCGAGATGTGTGCCTTTTTCTTTCGCGTCTTTCCCACTATCTGAGAGCCCGGAACAGGCTACCTTGAACTTGAGGCAGTGATGCGTGGAGGGAAAAATACTTCCGGTCACCGTAATAGACCCTTTCATAGTCGTCAGCTTTAAGTCCCTACTGTTTTGCAACTACGGTCAAACAATTTCCTGCCAAAAAGGAGAGAGGGTAAGAGAAGCGTCCCAAATCGTTTTGGCCAGGATTGTAGTCGCAACGTAATTTTGAAAATCAATCGACAGAAAGTTCCTCGCCTACACTACCAACAAAAACACTCACACGGGAATAAATACAGAGGCCTGCTGTAGGCAAGCAGGGACCTCAAAGCCAGTTTTTTTCAAAACTACCGTAAATTAAAATTGCAGTATCGCACTTAATTACAGCACACCCTATGACGAAAAAAAAAAAACGAAAGGAACTGATCAGTACGACACCGCGGCATACGAAAACCCAAACCGCTTTGTGGAAAAAAGGAATTTACAGCCTCATCCGTTAATTAAAATTAGCTGCAATGCCGACAACGTAACTCGGGCCGGGCAGAATTACGCAGAAATGAAGCGGCTTCCAAATAACAAATAACAAATATATAACAATATTGGCAAAAACGTAAAAGTTAGAAGATCGAATGAATGCGAGAGAAATTAGTTTTTCATATCGGCGTAAACAGGAAGTGAATTTGGGTAAAATATTTTTAACTCAATTCGATTTCATGCGTAAAAGTTTACCTTGAAAATAATAAAGTAAACTGTTCTACTGCATAAAGAATTTGAAATATTGTCTTTAGATAGCATAAAAAGTTTTCTTATTATATTCTCTGTTCTGCATTAGGTCATAAAAGTTCACTTACTATTTTATGTTACATCGTTTGAAAATTCATTCTACCTTCGGTACCTTGAGACTTTCGCGCGCGGCTTTCTTGTGTTTATTATACTGCCGCGAAGATCGCAAGGCTGCGAGGCGGCTTGTTAGCAATAACGGTTCATACATCTTCCACTTGGCATTGCTATGTTGGAAAGTAATTGATGAATTTCTAAAATACAGTCTACTCTCTCGTAAGCGACCACCATTGGTGCACGACAAATTAAAGTGGTCGCTTACGGGAGGTGGTCGCTTACGAGAAATGGTCGCTATGAGAGAGTTGACTGTATAACCTTGATGGTCTTATGTCACGGTGGGCTGCTGCATATTTAGAAGTAATGTTAGTTTGATTTTAGTTCTTGGTGATTCCAAATTACAAGTTTCATTCCTTCTACCATTAAAGCTTTTTGTTTTTCGTCATTGTTGTACAGTCAAAAGTTCTTCCGTTCGATAAAGCATCTTCAAAACCTACTTTCAGGCCAGGTGTGATTTTTTTTTCTCCCCCCCCCCCGACCCCCCCACCACCCTCGTGATCTTCTCAAGTTTAATGCCTGGACGAGTCAAAGGCGCTTGAAATTTAATTTCCAAGTTAGCCATTGCACTAATTTGAAACACTCCTAGGCGCCTTAAATTTGGTAAGACCAAAATTTGCTAGGAGCAAAATATTCTCACTTTTGTTTATAACAAAACAGTTGCCGACTCCTCAGAATGGTTTGAACCGGCCGAAGACGCGAAGGTATCTGGTAGACGCCACCCAAAAACAACATCATCAAAGCAACAGAAGACTTTGCCTCCTCGAGCAGCTAAGACGAGAAAGCCCTCCCAAGCGGGCCCTAGCACAGTGCAGCAGAAGCCGAAACCAAAACCAAAGAAAACTACGGGCGTTGTATATATCATTAATATGCGGGCTTGTCTAAGCCAGCCCGCGCCACCATTCGGGAAGGTAGGCTCATCATCTAGACCTGACAATAATTGCGGAGCTCGAGTAGGGGAACTTCAGACTGGAAACCCTCACCAATTGGTATGTAACCATATGTTTCCTGTTACTGAGCAGCTAAGCGCAGCGGAAGGAAGGGTCCGCCGAAATTTGACAAACAGCGGTTATAATATTTATCCCAGTTGTAGAGGAGGAACGGAATGGTTTTCATTTCCCGGAAGCGGACTACAGAGTTTGGCAAACAGAGTCAGAGCCGTATTAAACGATGCAGGTGTTTTGGCTTCGAGAAGTGACTGGGTTGAATCATCCATTAATCCGAGTCTTTCTCCAAATCAATCCCCGCAGTCCGTCTACAACTCAAAGTGGCGACAAGTTCCCTGCAAAGGAGATGAATTACAGCATATTACATATAACTGTAAATGACATTTTTCTGAAGTTACCTGTGTGACAATTGCTAGATCCCGTAAATGATCGATTAAGTGCCGCTAATCGAATAAGCGTCGCATCTTTACCGAAAATAATTTTATAAACGCCGCTTTCGAATAGGCGCCACGGCGCTAATTTGGGTATCTAGAAAGAAACGCCCAACCTTGTACGACGCTTGATATAAAGAGATATCAAAACCATATTGCTTGAGAAATAAGACCACGATCAACTCGTGATAACATAACTGTTCGAGGTGAACACGTTATTCCTTTTTCTTGCACAACTGTGAGTTCTCTCTGTATCCCCCTCAACGCTTTACCCGTAGTTAAAATTAGTGCCGCTCTCGAATAAGCGCCGCTTCCGATTACGCGGCGCTCAATCGATCATTTACGGTATTGACAAGAAACACATAATTAATTCACGCAGAGATTTTTACTGCAAATTATGTCTTTAGAAGTTCTGTTTTGAAATCAATATTGCACACAGTCTCGGCTCATTTTATTTTTTTCTCATTATCTTGCTATCAGGCTCCGTCCACAGGAGTAGTGTCGAATTTGCAAAAATCGGACTTCGGAGTAGAAAAGGAAATTCTCATTGTATTTAACGAAAAATAAAAGCCTTTACTTTTTGATGATATTAAAATCGCAAATAGGCAAAATACAAACATCTGCTAAATTTTATTTTTTAATCTGCAATATTTCCACTCGATTTTCCATTTCTCTCCTTACACTCTGACTCTCTCTATCCATCCCTCTTTTCGGGCGATTAAAAACAGCAATTCTTATTCTTAGTTTTAACGTTAATAATTTCTGGCCATTAGCTGCAACCAACTGCACGTACTAACAAGTTACTTAAGCGTTCACAGTGACCTCAGGCTCTCTTAACTAAATTTATATTTTCTTTATTTAGCAACGCCATAAACTTTAAAATCGTAGCAAAATGCTTACGGCCTTCTACTTCTTATTGCTACGTTTAACGAAGTTCAAACCTTCAGCCCTTCAAGAACATGAATGCCTTATATACATGGAAGAAGAAAGATCCTATAAGGCCAGTGGATTATCCTGGTGCCATATGTTTTCTGTATTCAGTTTACATGTAAAGGGTTGTAATTGTCCCCAGTGCTAGCACCTTCCTAGCTAAGAGACAGGAACACCCTAGCACTAGGAAGATCCTAATACTATGTAAACTGCCTTCGCTATGAAGATCCTAGTACTAGGGACAAACAAAACAAAAATGGCGGGAGGTCGTACAACGGGTTACCTTTGCTCTTTGATTCCTTCTCTTCTGTTAACTGCACGGACCACGATTTCTGCATGTAAAACCAACGAAAAGTTCTTCCGCCTTCTAGCCTCTTCCTGGTGTGAGAATCTTCTTCCCTCCATGTAAACAGCCCCTAAGACTGTACAATAGCCTCAGCGGGTGCATAGCGCGCTCAAAGCTTGTCGTAGTCTGTAGGATGTACATAGTCTAAAATCTGTATAGGAAATACCACCGGATAGGTGTGCAAGATGAAAATATCCAAATCCCCCAAACTTTGTCACAACAAAGCTCTTTGGAAACTACTTTAGAAAATACAAGACTCAGTTCGTTTGACTTTACATTTTCCAAAATAATCAATTTTTTAAAATTTTCAGCTTCGAGAGTCCTTCAAACCACCGAAAAATGTGCGTGATATCCTCGCTTCGTGAATAGAAAATTAAACTAATACCATGATTTTTCTTATACTAAACAATTTCACGACCCTTCCTTTGTATCTAAACGTTGTTACAATTTCAAAAGATTTCAATCTGATTTTTCAATATTTTTTCAAAATTACCATCTAAATCAGTATTATCTCGACCATCAATTTTCCCATTTTTAAACGGCGAAAATCCCTTCCTGGTACATGGCCTACATGGCTTTCATTAGAAAGACAGTATTCCAGAGAAAGAGCAATGCTTCCCCTATCAATCTGTGAAATAAAATTTGGGGGAAATTCAAACTGCGAGTTTTTACAACTGAAAACACGGTACTCGCGTGATGTACTACCTTTGAACTTGCAGTTGTATTGATGAATACAAGCGAGAACTTTAATTAGACAGCATTTGAAACTCTGGCGCAAATTCGCCTTTTTTCCGTAGATTTAAACACCAAAAATGATTCTAGATTTCACAGTGGCAACTTTTCAAAAGGAAAAGCAATTTTACTGTGCGAAAGTGAGCTATATAAACTTCTTGACTACAACACTTCCCTAACGTGAGTACTTGTTACTTTTGTCGTCAGTGGTGTACAGTTATCATTATGTACAAAACGGCTGTAGTGTTGGTAACTATTCTTTAAAATGCTCTTATTTCTCATGAAACAAATTTTTATAGCTATAAAAAAGGGAAACTTTTTCACCTAACTCACATTTTTGTCAACAGACCCGAAACCTTTAGTGAAACGAGATTGCTTGACAAAGAACTTTGAGACCCAGGTTATACCGCGAAGACCGATACCATTCTGAACAAGAATCGCCGAAAGGCGATTTTTAACTGGGCTGCAAAGGGGTTATTTTTTCTGAGGGGAGGGGGCGGCTATACACACTCATGAGGCTACTACAAAACCTTGCCGCCGACCATTGCATGCGACAGAATCTCATGTGAGACTGAAACATAAACTTATTCAGAACATTGTACCCTTTTGAAAGACTTTCGTAACCAAAAAAAAAAGAGAGTACCATTTTTAAGTGGGGGCTGTATAATTACTTTTAAAATCCACCATTATGAATAAAAATAAACAAGTTAGCCATTAATTCTAAGCCGGAGACGATTTGCATTATTTTCACACACCCCTCCCCCAATCCCTCTGTGCCCCCAAAATATAGCGTGACAGTATAACGTGACTAATTTGACGTAACCGGAAATTCCAAAAATTGTTGTCTTTCTACGAGCATAAAGTGCGACGGACGGAGCTGATTTACACTAGACAGAAATATTGTATTGTATGAAAATTAAACCAGAAGTATACTAAAACAGACAGCCAACTGCCCATTGATCCCGCCTGATCCAGGGGCCTCTTACTGCACTGAGACTTTGCTGCGTTTTTCACAAACATGCGAACTCTAAACTTCAAAAGCCACCTTCACAATTGTGTTTTTCGCTGCCGTCAATCATAATTACGATCACAAGCGACGATCCTTGAAACAGAGAAACACAAAACGGATCGAAATCCACAAATCGCAAACCATGACCTTTTGAACCCGTGAAGTAAAGTTTTGTTTCCTAAGAGGTCCGTTAAGGTAAGATGATTGACAGCAGCGAAAAACGCAATCGTCGGTTGGCTTTCGCATGTTTGTGAAACGTGCAGTAAATAAAGAATCCTAATTTGCGGTCTAGAGTCTACATAAAAACCGGCAGTATTTTTTCCACAATATAAGAAATACTCAGTTTTAAGATTTTCCTCTGCATTTCCATTTGCATTTTTTGACCTAAAAAAGTTTAAAGATTTCTCGCTCGCATGTTCCTTCAAACAATGTAAATAGATGAAACGATCGACAACATATTTTTTACCTAATACCGATATGAGTTAAAAATTTGCTCGAGTTCATTGTTTGTCTCACCCATGACTAACTTTTCTTCATGGACGATTACCGTGATGCCGCTTTATAACTCCTCCGAAGTTTTTGTGCTAGCTAACAATATGGAATCACTATTCACAGTCCTTGGATATTGAAAAGACTGAACGTGACGCACTATGTTGACTTTGTTTACTTCTGATCACATCTTCAAGCGAAGTCTCTCTTTGCAAGCGATTCATCTCAATGCACAATAATTGACCCTTATATTAGTTAAAACGCTATGGTTCATTTACTAAGTATATTAATGCTGTTTTTGCCCCTCACATTGACGGTGTTCCTTCGTATTGAAAACACCTTTAGGAAAATAAAGGTCATATAAGTCATGTGTATTATGTTTCCAGATAAATGGATTATACGCTTTTTTAAGTTTCCATTTTGCGGTGACTTCAGTTTACATCTCCATAAAATGGTAGAAGAAATATCAAGAAACATCACGAGAGCTGAAAATTTTCAAAGGCATGTTTCTGGAACTCGCTAATGCTGACGTCAATATAGCGTGCTTGTTGAATGGGCGAAAACACAGAATTGTGATCACTAGATCATGTACAAATTTAATGGTAAAAGCTTAGCAAGATACAGATACAAACAAAAGGAAACCCCGGAAACCTCGACGTGGGCTAGACTTGTATGCTCTACTCAGTCACCAAACCTTGTCAGTAATAGCTCCTATTTTCCTCAAGTCAAGCCTTGAACTGGTGTAGGAAATTCGCAGAGTTCCTATTTTTGTCCGTGTCTTTTTTATCCAAATTAAATAGAAGGAAATATTTAAAGGAGAATCCAGTCTTCTAACATGGCAAAGTTGTCACGTCCCTCTCTCATGGACGTGCGTAACATCAGGATTCATCTGCCATTCATCGGCAACTGAGTTGTTCGCTTCACTGACTACGACAGCTTACAATCAAGTCTTCAGCCGTAGTGTCGTCAACTGGTGAAATACTTTGCTCATAAATTGTGCGTCTTAATTGCTCATGTACTACATCGATCGTTAATTCTCTCTTTGAGTTCACGAAGCGGCCCAGGCGTTCCAAACCTGACGCTCACAGTCATCTTTTGGTGTGAACCTACAGTGAACGGCGTGTCGGTTTGAATGCAACGCGAGCATTTCTCTGAGTTTCCCAGCGCCAACATCATCTAACTGACTTAAAATCGAACAATAAAAAAATTATAGAGTGACTCCTATGATCGAGTCGCTTCGAACAACGCAAATAGCCTTCTTCAGGTTCGCAACGCCTTGTGGGTTTTCAGGGGGAGCGGAGACGAGGTACAAAAAGTATCCTTGCAAGGGCTCGTGCGAGAGAAAATCATATGAAACCATTTGTGAGAACCAGACCCTCGTGTCCTCCCTGCCCCGGATGACGGTCTTTCGACATCGACGACCGAAAACCGAATATATGACTGGGCCGCACAGGCAGCCCAGTAAAAAGAAACTCACCCGGCACCTTTTGTAACTATATAAGGGAAACATGTAAACAATCAAGATCCTTAGTTTCATTGACTTATCCGCTAAAACGACCCTGAAAACGTAACACTAAAGAAATATTTTCCACAAGAGACATGAAGTGGTGGGCCCTAATAAACTTTGGTTTTCCATAAACGGCTGCTTATATATTTAAACTGTTAAAAAAGCCTATTTTACAACAGTTTCGTTTTGAAATACGATTATGAATTCCTTAATTGTATCCTTAGTAAAATGAAATTGAGGGGGGGAAAGCGCTAACTCGTAGTCTGAAATGTTATCTATCCCTTTCCCCCACCCCCCAAGGCGCCGCAACCCGTTTAGGGGTGGGACAAAGAAACGCGTGACATTTCAGACATGCCAGGTCGGGGCTAGAAAACCTGCGTAACTTTGGAGCACCTCTGGTGTTTTAAAAAAACAAAATTCGCAGTTCTGGCAACCTCACACAAGTTTTGCATTTCTGAGCAACGTTTGAGCAAAATATAGGCTTACGGCAAAATTTCTAGCAAGAAAAATGAGTAG